CATGAAAATGGGACAGTAAAATGGAATGAAAGATGTTCGATATTACTGCAATAAAATAACGGAGTTGTCCTTTTAGTGCAGTCCTTGTCAAGATTGCATGATTTGCATCACCGGGGAGTTGTTAGCGGTCAACGGTCTGCAATTGCAGATCAGATCTGTTGTGATTTTTCTTTTTTAATTATTGCTATTATTCTAATTCAAGTTTGTTTCATCTGCAGCGTCAGCAGAAGCATAAAATGGTACGCATACGTACGATCGTTTCTGTGATTGACATGCTGCAAAAGCGCGCCCCATGCCTCCGTGTCAGGTCTCGACGAAAGGTAGCCAGTGATTTCCTTTTCACAAATTGTTGTATCTATTTTAATTTTTCTGTTTTGTTCGTGTTAGGGGCCGTTATGGCTGTTGCTCCTCGTGGCATAAGCGTGTGCGCGCGTGTATGCGTGCACGTTTGATCGCGGGAGGTCAAAAAAGGTCAGGGCAGCCCCGGTTTATAAAGCTAACAATGCTTTGCTGATGTTTGATTTGATTCATTGCATTTATGGAAACGTTCTGCCAAACGTATGTAGCCGAGCTTTCATTCAATTACATCCCGCTGGGTTACAGGTAACGACCGAGAGCCCTTTCCAAGGATTTCCCATCATCATTTATCATCAAACAAGCACAAATGTTGATGGTCCATCAATTACAAAATTGTAGGGTACAAAAGAGTGTCTTCAAATGGAGGTAGGGAGAAGTAAATTTGGAAGCTACAATGGGACCCGATGATGGCTCCCCTCCCGCCTCCTTCTTGTGGATAATAAACAACACATATCATGCAGGAGGAACATTAAGAGTAAATAAAGGAGAATGACAGTGATTGGACCTAAGAATATAAACCTCATTAACTGGGGAGGCACACATGGATGGATGCGGCCAGATGGTGTTTTGTACTCATTTGTCATACACCGCTGACAGAGGAGGAGGAGGAGAAGAATGAGAGTTGAAACGGAATAAAGACAAAACACGTGATTATTGAAGAGGAATATTCAGTGCGGACTTGTCCGTCTAAACGGGAGGGCGAGATTCATTCTGCATAATTTACTTCCCGAGACCGTGCCTGTGACGCTAACAATACCGTAGATGTACAACTCGAGCATAGTGGTACAAAGTACAAACGCGATCGCTTGCCTTAAACTGAGACAATGTGGCGTAAACACTTGAAATTCCAAACGAGGCCTATTTATCTCCGCGGCGTAACAATTTAATCTGTCAGTGAGTAAAATATGCCGCTCCGTGTCTCCAGGGCAACGTGTTTCTATTTACATTAGGGGGTTTATTCTTTGTTCCTTTACAAAGCAAATGATATGCTTGATTCATCATATCAACATTAGACGGGAACAGAATGCAAGTGCCAACAGCGCACATTGATTATTTCGCTTTTGGTTTGATGTCCTATTACGCTAAACTAGTTTGTGTGTGGGTTTTAATGCTTTATTTTAGTATTTTAATTTTGGAAACAGAGTAATTCTATTTTTAAAAAAAATACAGGGGGACCTCTGAAACTGAATCATAGCCCATGTGGTCAGAAATATAAGGGCCTTTCCCGGATAATTCCTGCAAAATCTTGGTTCTCGCAGGGTACATACCGACAAACATTCACACCTGTGCAATATTTCGATTTCCGTGAATCTGACGTACAGAATTTTGGAATGAAGGAAGAACATGAAAACTCAAAATCAGAACTGCGAGGCGCACTGCTTCATCAGGCTGCCTCAAGTTACCATTCGATCAAATGTAAGTGTAAGCTACTGCCTCACTTTAGACTTGAAGTCGGTCCTGTTGTTTTATATCAGCATGTGAGTAGAGGTTACCCAAAGTGCAGTTTGCCTCTGCTCAGTGTGAGGGCCTCAACCAAAGACTGAAGTGTGGAGCAGGGCAATTTCGACTGGGGCGCAAGAGTGTGTGTCTGTGTGCATGTAAGTGGATGCAGGTTGAGCGTGTGGCACGTGCGTGTGCGAGTGTGAGGGCAGGATCAACAGAGGAAATCCACACTTGAAAGAGAAGCTCCCAGCCATCGCTGACTGCCCCCCTGGTCTCTCTCATCTTACAGACGTTATCCTGACGCTAGGTTTATGCGGGAGGGGAGGTTCAAAAGTTCACAGGACCGAGGGAGTTATGAAGACCATGACTGGGGGCACGGGGGAGGCTCTACCAACAAGCAATCAGAGTCCTCATCCTGCACTGTCAGAATTATTGATTGATGTGGTTTTAAATAACTGTCATTGTAGCCAGATTTTTTTTTTTTAGACCTGTAGCTATCAAATATTTTTAGAATTGCGTATTATACCGATTATCCGACTGATGAATGAAGTAAATGAATAAAAATAATTAAAATAGACTTTGCGTCACTAAATAATAAAATGCGCATGTGCGGTGAGAGTATTACTTTTGTCCACTTGGGGTCGCCACCCTCACATTTGATATCCTCGACGTTGAGTGTGTATGGCTTTAAAAGGTGGGGCCTAGCCTGGTGAGTGACCTTGACGCTGTCAGCTAGCTCAAGTTGTATACATCAGCAGCCCATTTATTATTTAAATGCATTTTAAAAGACATAAGCACGATAAGTCAACTTTTTTGGCGATTTTAGCCATGTTAAAATAATTCCTCACCAAAAGCAACCCCCAAAGTGGTGGGTGTTCCTCCATTCACTCATCTTGGAGCATTCATGCTCATTCCTCCTCTTGAAGCATCAACCGCGCCCCAGCCAAGAAAACAACCGGGTCCACACTTGGTGATGTCTCTGATTTGGTGCGTCAAATAAATTATAAAATGTTCCCACGTAGCCCCCGCAATGTGCTCAAGTGCTAGTCACTGCTGTTTGGTGCACTGCATGAGTTTTTTCAATGTGGTTTTGAAATGTCCGACTTTGTGAGCGGTTACTTAACGTACTTAAAAAAATAAAGCTAATAAACCGACATACAAATCAATATAAAACTACATTAAAAAAAAATGATGGCTGCTGTGTGAACCACTACACTACCAATGCCCCTTTCCTCCATCCCAGAGTGAGCACAGCGGGTTAATTCCTCCTGAAAGGGTACACAAGGATTGATGTTTTTGATTTCATCTTAATTTATGGCTGAGCAGCAACTACAAAACTAAAGGAAAACAGGAGGCCAATGTAGTTTTTGTTGTTCCCTAAAGCTTGTTCACTGAACGGGAATAAAAGGACGACCTCATTTGGTTTCCTGTGTGATTTTCCTAAAGGGGATTTTTACACTGCCAGATGTGAGGAAGATGCCCTTCATTAGTACAATGCCTATGCACCAACGCCGCACTTAAATCCAATTCAGTTCGGCGTGAAAAGGGGCATTACTGCCAGCCAGGACTATAGCCCACCCACCCACTCGTGATGTGTGTGAACTGACACGACAAAAATGTGGCAACCCCCCGGGGGGGTTCAAGCAGAGATAAAACATGCCAAGCCAACATACAGGGACACTTAGTCTGGTTTAATAAAAGAGCCATTTGCATTTGAGAAAGTGTCAGCTATGGTAAAACACATTAAAATCTAATCAGATCCCCTGAATATGGATTTATCGGACAGGTTTACAGCTTTAGCATTTGGATAAGGGCCATGTGTGTGTGTGTGTGTGATATGTAATTCCTGAAATATTTTAGACATGTCATTAATATCTGTACTAGAAAGAAGCTACCACTATGTATCTATTTATAAAATTGTATCCCAAACTCTAACATTTCACTCCACACTTTATATATATATATATATATATATATATATAAAGATATATATAAAGATATCTAAAAAGAACTACATATTTATTTATATCCAAATATATTTTGAAGAAAAAAAAATCTTAAAATTACAAGATATGAAACCTATTTTGTGACCAGACTTTTTTTTTTGAATATCAGTCTTAAACAATTTTTATCATATTTTTGGGGAAACAAGAATCTAATCTCTTATCTGACCGAATAGTTCATGTGATGAGCGACCAAACATCTGATCAAGTTCCAAAATAAAAAGGAGGAATTTGTAGATAAAAGGCAGCACTTTTTGTCACACTCCACCCAGATGAGTTTAGAAAGCCGTCACTGATTTACAGGGTCACCACTGGGGGCTTTTTATGTGTGTGTGTGTGTGTGTGTGTGTGTGTGTGTGTGTGTGTGTGTGTGTGTGTGTGTGTGTGTTGTGTATCACGTGACGACTGCATGTGCGCGTTTGCACTGACTCATCCAGCAGTCAACTGTCACTGCCGAGTATGGCTTCATTCTTGGCTTTGTGGGGGCACGCACACATTTGAGAGTGTGCGTGCGCGACAATGTTCAACTGTGTCAACATCTTGTGTGGGCATACACGCTGAGGAAACAAAACAAAGTGCCTAAAGAAATAACTGGCGGCCCGGATGCAGACAAAGAGTCCTGACAAGAAAAAAAGCACATGAGGTGATTTCCACGCTGGCAGGGTTAAAGGGAAAGGATAAACTAACATCCTGGACAGGAAGCTCCACACCACGCAGACTCTCTGAGCCCGTTTTTTTGGGTGGAAAACACACATTGAATTGAACCATATTAACCGAGTCATCCTGGCACTGACTCGCCCCGCAGCTTCCCAAGCTTCCCTATGTGCTGCCCCCCTGATGAGAAATCTGGGCCTTCAACTGCCCCGTCCACCTGGTCACCGCAGTCAACATGGAAAACACTCGCTGTTTGCCAGAATAGCGACGGCGGCTATCGGGGGGAAGCGGAGATGGAATGTGGCAGTCACAGCGGGCGACTGCCACTCGCGTTATTTATTTGTTTTTTTCCAGCACTCGGCCAAGCTGTTCCTGTGGTTTAGGTATGCCCGTAAACAGGATGCTAACGGCGAGCGGTCTACCATATGTAGTTCTGTTGTTCAGACCAAGATCGCGAAATTCAGTTCAGCGCTGTGTCACCTGGACCACAGGACCTCATCTTTATTGAGCTTAGCAGGCCCGAACGCCACACCGTGTACTTACAGCTGGTACGAGAAGCTTCTTCACCTCCTCCACGGCTCTCCTCATCTTGATCTCGGCTCTGGTCTGCGTGTCTTCCACGGCGATCAGGACATGAAGGTCTTCATTGAGGTGCTCCCAATTTGGCTTTCCTTTGTTCTGCTCCTCCTGGAAAGAGATCGACGCGTGAGTGAACGTGACTGCGTGGGTGTGCCGGAGCGCCACGGTGGCGACAAACGCATCAGAGGACGACATGGTCCTGTGAAGAGAGACGGGATGACAGGAGTGCTCCTTTAGTCAGCCATTAAGCGTTTGCTTTGAAGTGACATCTTTCTTTAGTAGAACACTTACTTGATGGAGACCCCCCCACCCCAAAAAAAATGCTATGCCCCGCAGCAATTAAACAGCACGAAAAAAAAAAGAATGGGTCGAGATTTGAGAGACAGGTGAAGCCTTTTTTTATTTTTTAAACTTAACTCATTGAGAATGGAACCATCATTTACATGACGTTACAGCTCATTCCGCATCAGTCTGGTTTTGCTGAGAACAATGGCGCACAGGTAACAATAGCTGTCTAAGGCAGCACTTGAGAACAACCAAGTGCCAAATTGTAGCGCTACATTTAACCTAACAGACATTTCAATTCAAAACTTGACCAACTGTGGTAAGTGCAGTGAGATGGGTAAAAAAAAAAAAAAAAAAAGTTCCAAAACCTGAATAGAGGAACACATGACGTTTTTTTAACTGTAACTGAATAACACCTGATTTTAATGATTGATTTTTATTTATTCTTTAAAACTCGCAGAGACAATTTCTAAAATATCACAAATTAACCAACCAAGTGTTCACATGGGTTGGTTAGTTTGAAAAAGGGGTAGAGTTTGACAAGTGCCAAAGCTTTGACTAGTGAAGTGTGAACTGTTATTATGGCACCAAAAAAAAAAAAAAAAGTGTGCTGTCTAGTTCACATGAGTTCACTTTAGCTCACGTGTGAACCCTACACTATGTAACATTTGGTTGAACGATAAAAATTCTAGTGTAAACACGATGCAAACTGGACCAAATGTGTACACCGTGTACTATGCTGTACTGTATCTTGTCCAGACCAAAGTAATACAAAGCACATGTGGCCTGTGCTCCCACTTGACTTGAGTTTCAGCTCTGTTGCTATTCGGGAAGCAGCTATCAGACAAATATTACACCGATTATCCAACTGATTGTGTAATCAGATAAAAGGTTATTTTGATTTATAAAACACCAAAAAAAATAACTGAGTGTGTGGCTTTAAAAGGATGTGCCTGGCCCGGTGAGTGATGTGGGTGTCAGCGAATGAGTGGAGAGTTGGCTGTTTTGCACGTTCGCGCCTGGCTGTGAACTGGCTCACCGTTAGACACTCTCAAATTGAATGTCTGGCCAATTCGTTGTCGCTGAAGAAGCTTGCGTATGACTAGCAGAGGTGGGCTACATTAAATTAGCTAACGTCACTCACCACCTTATGTTGCCACGCATAGATGCGCTGTCGTGAGCCGTTAGTTCTGCTTTGCAGTCAACATCACAACTTTGGACAATCTGTTTTTGAAACACACTTTCCCCCTGGGTTGCCATGATTGTGCCAACGAAGAGGTGAGCGAGTTAGTGTGAAAAAATGATGACTGTGAAGGACCAAGGCAGAGATTTTCCCTTTGACTTTTCTTGGGGGGGAATCAGCAATTGTTTCAACCCTCAATCTCATTCATCTGATAGCGTAGTTCACGTGGTCAAGTGTGAACGTTATCATCCAAACTCAGGTGTGCAGCACACACGCAGATCAAAGTGGCTCCAAGTTTGCTTCCAAAGTAGGATGTCGTAGTATGCGAACAGCGCTTGGCACAAATCGACAAGTTGCAAATTGGGCCAAACGTGTGAACTACGTCTTTTCATTTCTGATTGAATCTGAGTAACAAACTACAAGTAGGCTATGCCCAGACTTGACAGGGTGGATTCAGTTAAAACATAACGTGGCATGTTTGGTCAAGTTCCAATTGTCCGAATGATGCGTTACGGTTCTCTGGTGCGATTCGGTACACAATTGCTGGATTTGACGTGGTAACCCTGCAGATATTTAGGATACAGACCTGCATTAAAACAACAGATGAAAGCAGGGGGAATTAAACGAGCAAATCAAAATAGAAACTATACTTATACTATCAAGAATTACTGCCCCTCACCCACTCAAGCTGCAACTGTAGCAATTATGGCCCCGATCAATCCAAAGCAGCGTCACTGACCACAGCGTCAACAACATCGCCATTGTATGCCCCACGACGCATTGTTGCAGCGGCGCCCTGCGGCCGGCCTGACGTGATTTCTATTGAGTTGTGGAGCGCCAAGGAGAGACACACGGAGCAGAGTGCCACCCACCTGCTTTCTACTCTACAGAGAGCTGTTGCCATGGCACTGCTCTTTACCACGCACGTACAGAAAAGTTCAATATTCCACTCTCGTTTTCCCCTTTTCCACACAGGGAGGAAGGGCTCAGTTTTTCCACTCGGGCCATTATTCCACCGTGGCTGTTTGCTTATGGGCCATTCGGGGACACAGACTGAAAGGTGATTCGGCATATGCAAAATGGGGCATGGACAGTGTGGTTCAAATATAAAAGCACAAGTGCATACTATAACTACGTATTTTTCTTCACATGGCCTCTCTGCCCACGAAAGTCAACTACAATCTTGAGAACTATCGGTGCGTAGATGCGAACCAAGGCAAGGTCACAGTCTGCCTTCTGACAAAGTGACAAATACGAGGTTGGTAAGTTCAAGACAGGATTTTGTAGTCCCCGAGGAAACGCTTTACACTACATGGTGACACGTCACGTTAGAGTTGAGTTGGTAATGCTCGAAAACACAAAAGAGCTTGCAATTCGGTCCTTGCTATTACGAGTGGAGGTTAGTCCGACAATGGATTTCGGGCTACGTGGCACTAGCAGTTACGTGGCATTGAATGAATGCAATGGTCTTTGAACAGTACTTTCTCCTTTGAGCCAAGTGGCTGCTCTAAATTGAGGCTAAATGTCAACAGTCCAAACAGGTGCAGTACAGAGCCGAAGGGTGCGCAGAAGGACAACCAGGCAGGCAGTGATGTTCGGAAAGGAAAATACATTTGACAAAAACTGAACTTTCCAAGAAAACATCATTATGACAATACTGCAGAGCTCCCACAGAGTGATGAAAAGGTGGACTTTTAAAACAGTTGAAGAGTTAAACAAAACCCCCCCAAAAAAACCTTTGTGAAAATTATGCAATTGACCATATTTGGATACATGTGGTTTCTATGTTCGTCCGTTTCACACAGTTGAGAAAAAAAAAAAAAGAAAAAAGAAAAAGCTCAGTTGGTAGAGTGGGTCATCCAATGACCGAAGGGTCAGCGGTTCGAATCCCAACTCGAAGTGTCCACTTTTCCAGTGCCCTTCGGGCTTTTAAAGAGCTCCTCTCCCACTTTACACCCGGTGAAACTTTAAAGCTTCAATTAAATTCAATAGCTAGTGGAATATATACAAGACAATACGAAACATCCTGATTTATATAGCACTTTCACAACATAAAAACACGGACAGTTGTGCGATTTTAACCACTTTTCCCTCATACGCTTTGTTGTTTGAAGCAGTTTTAGATGAAAGAGGAGAGAATCCAAGTGTCCTTTAACCAGTGGATCAGAGACGTCATGCTCAAAATGTGCACGTCGGCTACAAGCTAAATTTGAAAGTCAACAAGAAGCTGTAGCGTCCATTGATGAAACAAACGAGATTGGTTCACCTCTCCTGTCCCATGTAAATCCGCTTCAATTCCAAGCGGCGACTCTCAGTTCCAAGTACGCGTACGCATATGTAACTTGAACCATGTTGCTATTTCCACAGCAGTCATCAATCGCGACTTTCAGCGCTAGCTTCCTCCCTTTGGGTACGTTTTTTAAGGACATGACAACAATCACCAGCAACAACAAACTAAGAAGAGTAAGCCGTCACGTCACATACAAGAGAGTGCCGCACTGAGAGCGACACAAGCGCTCTCTGAGGAAATGATGTGCAACGCGTCTTGTCTGAACAAATGTGTCACAAGAAAAAAGGTTGCGAGAGTTGTTTTATCAGTGTTAAGTGCAATCTGGGGATGGGTTATTATCCTTTAATATGTTCCGTCTCCTCCTATTTAACGTGGATGTGACTCTCTCGCACAGATACACAGATGGGCTTAGCCGTTTGACCACCGAAGCCATAAATTAGCATTTAGTGATCACTTCGTTATTTAGGCCTGATCTAGACTCCCTAGGTTGGATTTGCCCAATTCTAACTTGGGGCCAGTATACAAGTTTTACATCCACATGTATTTTCAAGTGACTCTTATCCGGTATCACCGTATTTATATTTGCTGAACGTCATTTCGGTATTACAGTGAATATTAAGATGTAAAACAGGTAGGCCATTCATGAAAAACATGAAGTACGGCGGAAAATTATGCTTGTCTTTTTGGACGAACGATGAAGTATTTTTAAACCACCTCGTAGTGTGCCGAGGACCCAGTTTGACCCTTAACCTCAAGGAAAGTCTTTCCCGTCACATTTTGGAAACAGCCTGCACAAAAATCAAGAAGGACCGGGAAAGAACATTTTTTTTAAATGCTCAGGAAATATGGCTTCAGACAAGAACATTTAATTTGTCTTTGTACTTGGCAGGCAAGGCAGATGCTGTGGGGGGGGGGGGGGGGGTGTTGTGAGGCAAAAGTCAGCCTTAAGACAAATGGGCTAAGAGGCTAACTTAACAAAAGGGTAATATTTCAACACTTGTTTGTCTGAGAAATAAAGTGAAGACAGTCCAAACCCATTAAGCAACTTTCATCCGCATC